GCCCGCGGCAGGCGTGCGCCTCGCCCTCTGAGCCGCCGCGGTTCGCGGCGAGCCCCCCGAGCTTGGAGAGCACGTCGGCCAGAGGGTCCTCGCTCCGCCGCCCTCCTCCTGCTCCTCCTCCTCCTCCTCCTGGGACCACCAACGGGATTAAGGCGCCCCAAAGCCATATCACCTCAAGTCCTCCTCCTCCTCCTCGTCCTCCTCCTCCTCCTCCTCCTCCTCCTCCTCCTCCTCCTCCTCCCCTCCTCCTCCTCTCTCCCCTCCTCCTCCTCCTACTCCGCCCCCCACACACTTCCGCCTCCGCCCTCCGCCTCGCCCTCCGCCCTCCGCCCTCCGCCCTCCTCCCTCCTCCATACTCCCTCCTCCTCCTCCTCCTCTTCCTCCTCCTTCTCATCCTCCTCCTATTCTGATTCGCCTCCTAGTACTGCTAGTAGTACCATTACGATGTTGATGTTTCTTATTAGTCTTAGAAATACTAGTGTTATTACTGATCGATTTCTTCTTGATGGTATTAGTGTTGCTATAATTATGGTTTGTAGTGTCATTCGTCGTGTTCGTAGTATTCGTAGTATGGTTATGATTCGCATGATTAGTCTGATCATTGATATACTCGTAATCGTAGTACTATTATGAATCATATTCGTGTGCGTATTCGTATGCCTATTACTATTGTTCGTCTTCGTGTCAGTAGTCGTATTATTCGTCGTATTATTGTTAGTACTAGTTTAGTTGTTTGTGCTATGATTATCCTTCCTTGGTATTCTTAGTCGTATTCGGCTGATTCGTCGTATGAGTAGTTGTTGTGTTATAATTAGTTATGCGGTCGTCGTCTTGTTATTCTGATTCGTGTTCGGCTGATACGTCTTATGAGTCGTCTTTTTTATTCGTCTTCATAGTAGTAGTATGCGGATTCGCATTAATCGTTTTCTGTTTATTCGCAGTCGTCTTATTATTGTTGGTAGTATTCGTGTTGTGAGTATCATTACTCTTATCATTAGTATGCTTCGTAATAGTACTCTGCTTCTTCATAATATGAATATACTTATTCATAGTATTAGTCGTACTCCTCGTATTACGCTTCCTCTGATTCTTCGTACTCATAGTACTCGTCTTCGTCTTCGTGCTATAGTATGTATTAGTACTCTTCATCCTCCTCCTTGTGTGCCTCATTTTAAGGGTAAGGGGGAGGGGGGACAGGGGAAAGAGGAGGGAAATGGAGGAGGGGGAACGGGGAACGGGCAAGAGTGGCAGGGGCAGTGTGGCAGGGGAAGGCACAGGGAGAGGGGGAGGTGCTGGGGGAAGGGGGGGGGTAAGGCGAGGGGGAGGGCCTTACCCCTCCGCTCACCGCGGCCGAAGTCCGTGGCGTGGACCGTGCGGAAGCAGGCCACGGCCACGAGCGCCGCAAGCATCCCAGCTGTCCGAGGCGGCACCCGGCCTGCCCCCCAGGCATCCCCCAGCAGAAAGGAACGATTCGAGATACAGTCGAGGCTTTGACCTAAGGAACCCTAAATAAGGAACGAGGCCCCTATTTTCCATAGGTTGAACTTCGATTTCGTACCGAAAACCTAAGAAAAACCTCTAAGGCAAGCTGCGAAACACTTAAGGAACACGGAGCCCCTCCCCAACGAACAGGGTTCCTTCTTCAGGGCACCGGCTGTAGGGCACGAGATGGTGGCAGAGAGGGGAGGGCCAAGACGAGAACAAAAAAGCTGGCAGGATGATTCGCAGGAGGAGGGGCACGGAGTGAAGATGCGGCGCAGCGCGGCGCCTTCCGATGAGGACACCATTCGCGGCGTTGCGGACGCACGCATCACCCCTCGAGCATCGCAGCAGATCTGCATCAGCGACATGCATGATGCTACAAAGTGTTTTCGATGGTCAGATCCTGGCGCCATGCAGCTGTGCTCAGCAGGGGCGGCGCCCGCTCCCCCCCCGCGCGCACCGAGGCGAGAAGGCATGGGCACCGCTGTATGGTGCCTGCCTTCCATCGGCTGGCGCATCGCACAGCCGGAAGCTACACGGTGGGAGCGGTGCCCGGGGAGCGCTCGGGGGACGTCAGCTGTCCACCATGCAGTCAGCGTCCGTGGTCACACGCAGGACCCTTGGGCGTCCCTGGATCCTTACCTACCACGGGTCTTGACTGCTGCACGCCGGCCCTGGCAAGGCCAGTCCGAGGCTCCGGATGGGCCTGGTCAGGACCGTCGCGCGTGTTGAGTTTATGTCGGGCGTGCCTCCCTACAGGGGGATTTTGGACGAAAAATAAAAAATACCCCCAAAATACCCCAAGAAGGTCAAAAAATACCCAAAAAATAGTCCCCAGACTATTTTGGGACTAGTTTTTGCATATTTTTGGGGTATTTTTTAGTTTTCGTCGAAAATCCCCCTGTAGGGGGACAGGCCCGACATAAGTGTGCACAGCTGGCGCACCCCGAAGGAGAGCACCGCCGAACTTCAATGCCAGATTGCGTGAATCACTGAACCAGACCAGGGCAGAACGGCT